AAAAGAAGAAAGGAGACAATAAGAATGGTTATTTTGAAAGGTCACGTTAATGACACAATAGGAGCTAGTTAAGCAGGTAAATAGACTATAAACAGAGGAATTCGTAATCACTTTTCTTATGGACTATCGAGTGCTCCAAAGTTTGGGAATGTGTTACATCTATCCAAATAATGAAGAAAACACTTGTTTAATATATAGATGAATAAAACACCAATAAGGCAGTTACAATTAATGGACCTATTAGTAATAGTTAGTCAAACTGACAACTTCTTGGGTCAGTAGATCATCAGCAATATATGATTCGTCTCGAGTTAGAATGTCTGTAAATAACAGAATGAGCACTTCTTATGGTCCATCAACGTAGTCATTATTTTGGAAACAAAATATAGATTAACTATAAAACAGAATTCAGCTTACTTAGCTCTCTCATCTCAGCCATCAGTAGAGCTGGACATAAACTAAATCATACGTTACATGATGCGTATCATTAAATAAGGCCATTCCTCCAACGCAGTGTACCTTCGATGTAATCTGCTACACCCTTTCAAAACTATATGGTTTTTCACCAAAATAGCAACTTATTGGATCAAAGGTGGTAATAATGTATTTAATAATTATATTTCACAGGATCTGTACTTAATGTGTGTTAAATGAATAAATAAGATATTTTAAGAGAATTTATAGATCTGCACTCAATTCAGATTTCGCTATTCAAAGGGCACACATTTTTTTCAGTGGAAGACTTTTTACACATTTTCTGCACGAGTTTATTAGATCAGATACATAGCAGTCTTTTAGTTGGATGTACAATTTAACACCCACACAGTCCCCCGCTGGTTCAGCGTTATGTTTACGAACCTACAACGCTAACTCCAGGGTTCGATTCCCTGCGGTAGACATAGCAGATAGCGCAATATGACTTTGTGCTTAAACAAGACAAACACATATAACTGTAACCTACGAATTTTAAACGCATGCTAAATATAAACTGATAATTCAAACAGTGTTTTAAGAAAAAATTTGTTGTGATGTTTATTTAAAAAATATGCACAAAATGTTTGTTCTTTCATAAAACATTATAATATATTCTTCAACATTCACAAGCTTCTGATGCAGAAACGCTAAGACTATACACGCATTTTTTTTTGTTGGATATTGATTGCTGACTTCAATGCTTTTACCACCTACTCATGATTATGTAAAAACTAAAATTGACAAAAACTTCTATCATAGGCAACAAAATAGTCTAATTACACTGAAGTATTTTATATAATAAACAGACTTTACCTATTACTAAGGGCACAACTACCTCTTTTACTAGTTTAGTCAAGTTCACAAATTCCCAGCCCCCCCCCCCCACCTTTTGGGGGCTCCCACAATAGCTAAAAATAGTGGTTAAGCCCCTCTCCCCAAGTAATTGTGTTTCACAGGTCCTAAGAAATCTGGTTGTGACACCTGTAACTTCTTTAAAATAGGATGTGCAGTAAAGTAATGATTTATAACAATCTGGTGATTATTGTTTTCATGTTCTTGCATATTGTTTTATTTTTTTAATTTAGCTGATTAACTCATTTTATGCAATATTTAGTTCTTGCTCTATTGTTATGACGATGGTCTGCGTATAATATACATGCTTAAACGTTTGTTGGTCCATTGTATTGACATCAATGTCAGTGCCAGATTATTTCGCATTGTTTAAAACAATTTTAACATTTCTGTTTAAGATATTCAGGTACCAATTTATTTTGTCTCACCTGTTTGTTTTATGTTCTGCAAAGTAGATGTTTATACTTAACAGCTTGTATCCACTCCAAACTTGCAGAAGCAATGTCAAAAAAGAATTCACATTAACCAATATTTTCATCTTTGAACATTAGAATGTTATTCGTATGTATTTTGTTTTGCACTTAAATTACAAATTTGTTCACTGTTTATTCCAACTACAAAATTTAATATTTTCTGAAACTAGTACCAGGAAGGTATTATTGTATTATCGAATAAACGTACAATGTGATGATTCTTTATACAATAATGACTCTTATATTATGCATTCTAAATTTAAAGTTGATTTACCTAATTTCTAATATTCTGCCAGTCAGAAAGTATTTGTAATGTTTTGGTGTTTGAGTGATTCAGGAAAAATAATATTGATTCAGTAGGGCCTAAAAATTATTCTTACAGTTAGTTTCTATCTCTTTACTTTATAATGTTTAAAAAATGAGTTATTCCCAGTTATTTTGTGGTTGTATGATATTGTATCTGCTCATTTATTTTCACAGGGCAATCTTTCCTTACTTCAAAATCAAATGTATTCATAATACATTAAAATAGAATCTTGATGTGAAAAATAAGACACATGTGAATGTTTATAAAGTTGATGTTTGGAAATACATATGAATTAAAGATTCTTATGGTTTGTCTTAAATTTCGCGCAAAGCTAGACGAGGGCTATCTGAGCTAGCCGTCCCTGATCTAACAGTAAAAGACTAGAGGAAAAGGCAGCTAGTCATCAGCACTCACCGCTGGTGTAGCGTGTTAGTGTTGTTACGTAAGCTGAAGCTTCGAGAAACTCTCCACACGCCTATAAATATAACGAACGCGACGCGCTAAAAAAACAGTACCTATTATTGGTTTGCTATAGTTTGTGTACTATAAACTTCGGAAGCTATAATTGTAATTAACGCTTATTAATCGGAAACCTCAGATATTCCATCGGGAACATTTATAAATTTCAAACATTACAAATCATTCAACTTCAGTGGATTCACATCGGGCATTAGTACTTTTACGAAAACATTACCTAACGTCACTGGTAGGAAACATCGGCGTGTGATCAGTGAAGACCATAGATCTAGCTAGCTCCCTATTAAGTGAATTGTATCTACATCAAATCGAAATTAACTCGCTCATCATAAACCCTCGATAAGATATCAAGGAAGTTCCAGACTAGAAAGAAGACTTTATATTCCTTGAAAGTTTGTAAAACTTTTGTATATAAATCATTGTTTGTAATAACTGTTATTGTAAATTGTATTATTGTTTGTATATTAAAACATATTTGTATAAAACAAAGAAAACTGTGTGTATCAATCTTATTGGCAAATATCATAAATTGGATACATATCGGCATTTATTTAACTACTGAATCTAAATTACAATTTGACTCAGTTTTAGGTTATTAGAAATTGTAATACGTAATATACTACCTTAAATTTTCTGTTCGTTACGTTGGCTGACTACTGTATCAAGAAGTATTATTTGTGAAGACCCTTCTCATGAGAGAATATGACGTTTCTCACGAAAACGCTTACCAACAGCGCTTTTCACAACGTCAAGCCTATTAATCATTGATGTGATCAGCGAAACGTTCATAAACTTGTCTCTCTTCTCACCAATGTAATTGGATTCACAGACCATACAATTGATCCCATAACTCATGTTTGTCACCGCTGTGTTATATCCTGATATATATCATTGTTACAAGATTTTGCATTCTTATATGGAAGATGGCTTTTGCTCTTCGTTATCCTTTTATGTGGACAATCCCCGACGAAAGTATGTAAAGAAGACGTTGGATTGAATAATATACAGTTCCTTTTTAATCTGGAATTTTATATAAAATATAAGCTTAGTATTTCATTCACTACCCGAAATCTTAGAGGAATATGTTGACTAAAATGCAGCTTTTGGATATTAAGTTGGAAAAGAGACGTTTGATCTAAAACGTAAATTCTGTAGAAAAAGCAAAACGCTGAAATTGAAACAACTACTGTGTTGTTACTGTTTACGTAGATTAAACTTTCAAGATTTCCCAAGTGATCTTGCCTTCGAACCATTTATACACCCCTCTGAAAAAGAAATATTTTCTTTGTTCGTGAAGTCAGTGTGAACCCTATTTGAAAAGCTGTCATCTCCCTTGTATGTTTCATGACGTAGAAGCTGAATTAGTAAATAGTTGTATCCTGCCGCTATTTATATGTAATGGATTAATGCTCTGTGTATCTCTAAGAAAACATAACATATAGATTCACATAACAGGGATTGTGCTTTTACAAGAAATTAGACCACAAAAATCTGTAAAGACCCGTAGTAGATAATTCTTTCGGGAAGTATGTGAAAATAATGACAAGACATTTTAATGTGTTTGTTAAACAACAACACACATTACATTGTAAAGTAGTTCTACATTGTGTAGTAAAGAGGTATGTGCAGAAGCACAAGTTACCCCACAGAAAGTCATCATTCAGGTGTTTTGTGTCGACTATAGTTACACACAATATAGTTGTTACGAAAATAGTAATTCTGTTATGTAACTGCAGTAACAAGTTATACTTATTACAGAAAGTAATATTTCAGATGTGTGGTCTATACTACATAAAATCGTCATTCTGGTGCTTAACAAATACCATATCTACATATTATACTTACTACAGAAATGTTTTATGACATTTATTCTATACTAAAAAAAAATGGTCATTCTAGTGTGGTTCCAACAGATGTAAAGTACATTTCAAGGTCATATCCAAGAGACCATAATTGCATGAAGTGTTCAAGATGAAAAGTACATCTAAATGTGCCAGCCAAGGTATCCTAATCTTACGTGACACACAAAGTGCAAAGTAGGTCGCAAGATCAGTATTATAGTTTTTTATTTGACTGTTAAAAAAATATATGGAACATGGTGAACGATACATTTTAACGTCGGTGCAAATGAATCAAGTATAATGATATGTAGCACACAAGGTGCAAATTACGTTTCAGCATTAATACTAAGAAACCCTAATATTATGTGATACACAAGGTGCGAGATACATTTCAACATCAGTAGGAACAAGGAAAGTTCTTAGGCAAAATTGTTTAAACGTTACGTTTTTGTCATTTTCAATATTACACATTTACCACAGTTACTATTTTCTTTGTCGCGACTACAGATATATTTCTTTAGCATGTCATTCTAGTGCTAAATTTAACCATTTCCCTCTCTAACTCCTGATTTCTAGAGAAGGATGGCCGACAACTCGTAGGGAAACCTGCCCCTCCCCCCAAACCAGCTTCTTTGCAGTACACTGCAACAGAATCCAGACATCATGTTTCTGTAAAAGGTAATTTTGTATAAATGCATATAATTGTATTTAATAACTTTCCTTTATTGACTCTGTATAAGTTAAATTAACTTACCTTTAAATTTAGAATTAAGACCAATGTATTATGAATATTTTATACATTTTTTTACGCGCATATTTTAAGTATTTGGTGTTATCTCTACCTCGCTATTAATTTATGTTGTTCTAGAGGCATAGCGTAACATACTATTAACTCTTTACTTTGGGTGAGCGTGTTTTATAAACAGGCCGTGTGGCTTAGTTGTTAGCTTCCCGAATTGTGAATCAATGGTCGCGGCCCATTGACATACTTTGTGGCTGTTCCTGCGTAATAAGATTGATGATCAAATCCCGCTATTTGATTAGATCAGCCACAGAGATGGTGATTGGTGCTGTTAAGTAGCTGTCTCCCATTTAGTCTATTAGTTAAAATGAAGAACGGCTAGCTTAGATAACAATTGAGTAGCTTTTCAAGAATACCTGAAACAAGAAGAAAAAGTTCTACAACTACTGGTGTTTTAACAAGCAATGAATTGATGTAGAATTTCAGTGAGATTATTTCTTGTGTATCTTAAACTATTTTAAGTTTTGTGAATCGTGTTGCTAAAGTTTAGTATAATGGGTATTTTTAAATTCACACAAGCACAGAGTGTTTGTTTGTTTGTTTTGAATTTCGCGCAAAGCTACACGAGGGCTATCTGCGCTAGCCGTCCCTAATTTAACAGTGTAAG